ATATATATATGTGTGAATTTTCCTTTTCTCATAGTTCATGAAAGAGGAAAATATAAAATCCATTCTTTCTCTTACCGTTTCTCCGTTAAATGCGATAAACTGACGTTGTTAGAAGGAAGAAAGAAAAAAAAACAAGAACCTTTACAAAGGTTCTTTGTCAAAGCCGAAGATCGTAAAGACTTAAAAAAAAAAAGTCGAGAGAAAGAGAGAGAGAGAGAGAGAAAATTAGAAGAAAAAGAATAAAAAGAGAAAAAGGAAGAAAAAGAGGAAAAGGGAGGAAGAGGAGGAAAAGAATAAGAAAAAGAAGAAACGGAAACGGTAGTAAAGTAAATCGTTTCACGAAGGGTTTGTTTAAAGGCGATTTCCCACGACGCGCAAAGGCGAACGATGTTATTGGAAATGGCGCGGGAGCCATTGTAGATCTAGCTTTAGCAGGTACTTACCTGTACTAAAAGTGGCACGGCAGTTTAGTCAGCGAACGATTAGAGTCGCTCGACGACCTCCTTCTCGTCGAGGTGTCCGTCGATGACCTCTTACTGTGATCATTGCATTCGTGTACGCGGCAAGTGATGCTATAAATCCATCGATCGAATCTATCGTGAGACAGTTGTCACGTTTGTGTCTTCTAATCATCCATATCTATGTTAATGTTCCCCTAATTACCAAAAACGTCAATTAGATTTATCGATAAATTCGTGAATGAAATATATAAGTAACACACACACACACACACATATATATATATATATATATATATATATATATATTTCGAAAAGGATCTAATGGTAATAGAACAATTATATAAATAATAATAATTTGTATTATTTAAATTTATAATAATTATCTAATAATACATAAAAAAAAGGGATATATTAATTCTCATTATTAAGTCGATGTGATTTATTTCTATTTAGAGATTTATCTTGGCGCATTAATTAAAAATATTTTTCTTTGTTAAAAAATTGAACATTTTTTTTATTGTATGCATATATATATATATATATATATATATATATATATTTATATATATATATATATAAAGGGAAAAAAATCTCAAGTTCCGTAGCACGATTCGAGACGCGAGAACGATGCTTTATTAAAGGAGATTGCGATCTGGCACGCTCGGATGATACCTGCTTCGCGGCGTGGGCGTGCTGAGCCGTTGCGTACACACCCGTTGACCTTTGGCCCTGTGCTGCCTTTCGTTCGTTTCTGCGTTCAACCGCTCGCACTGTTGATCTCAAAGCTTATAGTGGTGAACGTACGTACATACGTTCATACATACATACATACACACGTATATACATATATACATAAATATATATATATATATATATATATATTTATATACATTCATTTCGCTCGTTCCTTTCGTCGCTCGTGTTAGACTTCCATTAAACGTTAGACCATCGATTAAAAGTTTACTTAACTTCGCTCTTTCAGTCAATATTAACGTGATTTAAATGTGCGAACGTAAAAGGGAAACGAAAAGGAAAAGGAAAAAGAAAAAGATGAAGAAAAAAGCAGAAATCTGTTCGTCACGTGTTCACATAGTAGAAGTTTAGACAGCGAAAGTCGACCTTTTACACGAGTAACGAGCGAGTACTCTAATCGATAGGAACGAACGAAGAATTACGAGATCGAGAAACACGAATTTCGCCTAAGCTAAGCTAATCACGAATCATCCTTCTCTCTTTCTCTCTCTCTCTCTCTCTCTCTCTCTCTCTCGCTCTTTTTGCTTTGAAAGAACAAAAAAAAAGTCATCGAGTAGATCTAATCAAACGAGCGATTTAGCGGCTTTCAAACGAACTCGTTCGTGGCCTACCAGAGACGACGTGCGTCCGTTGGCGATTAAACTTGGTGATTAACTACTAACGACCGTGCTACTTAACATAAATCGCTAATTTAGAAGGCCTCATGCTCTCAGGTGGATGGCCGATATCTATTATCGGTTCGATTAAAATTCCTAAATTCTTGTCCTTTCGATGTACGGATTAATCTACGTCGGATACGACGTATATAGGGTGTCTTTAAAATGTATTATTAAACATCGCCAATATATCATGCTCGTGTGCGGATAATGATGTGAAAGAAAAAGAATATACCCGTGTACATTAATCTGGTATAATCTTAAAGAATAACATTTATCTTATTCACGCTATTTAATTTTCTATTTATATTTGATGAAATTTTATAAAAAGCGTGATTTAACTTTGATCAAAATTAATATATATATATATATATATATATATATATATATATATATATAACGTTAGAAATTTTGTAATTAATAAAAGAAAGCTTATAAATCATAGGTATCTGTAAAAATTGTTATACGTTCATTATTATACTTTTCGTCAATCTATCATTTCTTATTTAATGTTTAAAATGATCAAAGGTATTTGAGTATGTACTTTAAAGACACCACATATAAATGGTCAGTCTGTCACGTATAGAAAAATACATAGGATCGAAGCTAACTGAATATCAATTGTTTCAGGACGTGGTGCACCGCGCGTGACCGCGGCTCTTGTAGGAGATGGAGAAGGTAGGTTGATATTGAGCCCGGTGCACAAGGAGAACATATTATCACGCAGCAAGGAAGACTTAGCACAGGAGGCAGCACTGGTGCTGCAGCAAGCTGGTAGCTTACGTTGTGTAGCACACGACAATAGACGATTGCCCGGTAAGTTCAGCACGTTACCAGCAAGACGGGGTAACGTTAATAAAAAACGTCCAGAATTGCCGTTAGACGTGAAGAGACGTAAAAGCGAAGAGATAGGTGCTACAACAAGTACAAATACTACGAGCGGCGATCAATTGTCTTGGACGCCAAAAGCAAAGAAGAAAACGTTGGAGAGAAGTAGCAGCGATGCTAGTTCGAAAAAATTGAAAGGTACACTAGCTAAATTCTTTTCGCCAAAATTAGAAAGAAAGAGGAAGCCGGTTGGCCGTAGCGTTAGCGACGCAGGTACGTCGAGTAGACAATACCGTAAGAGAAGTGGTAGCGAAAGCGAAGGTTCACATTTGAGTAGTACGGCTCGTGCTAAGAAACAGCTGTCGCCGATAATCGAGACATCACCACAGGTCGATCATACTCAACAACCGTTTCATTTTGAAGTGATTAATAAGGAAGAGGTTAATAAGCCGAATGCTAAAAAGTCAAAGCAGGAGGAAGGTGATACAAATGTCGAGAGAATAATTGAACGAGTTGAAACGAAGGAGAAGATCGAGGAGACTACTAAAGAGATCTCTCTCGAGCGATCAATCGAGACGAGAAAAGAAAATAAAGTAGTTGAGAGACAGAATAAGTTAGATATCACGAATGATAAGGATCGTATTACCGGTGAAGAGAAGGAAGTGACGGCACGTAGGAAGACGGAAACAACGAATTGTAACTCGTCGCAGCAAGGAAAAGAGACGAAGCTTCGGGAGGAGGTCGACGAGGTCGACCGGGTCGGGAGCATGCTGCACAGCAGCAGATACGATCTTCAGAAACGCGGCGAGGAATCGACGATCAACAAGATGATTCATCGATTGTCGAGCGATCGCTCGCCACCGCCACAATTGACGAGAACTATGGTCTCACCGGGACCTGGTTTTGGACATAACAACAATCGACCATTCTCTTATACGAGGCCAAATGATCCCGGTAGTCCACCGCCATCTTCGCAAACGAACGTGATGTATGCTCAAGTACAAGCGGATAAGAAGAAGGCCCAAAGGAGTCATTCCGATAGTGACGAGGGTTTGGGTCTTGAAAGAAAGGACTCGTCACGAGAGAACAGTCCAGCTGAGAAAGAATATCGTAGAACAGATTATTCTTACAGTAGCGATCTCAGACGTAACAACGAGATAAATAATCTCAAGTCTCGCTACGAGGAAACTCGAAAGAGTACGACGACTTCACGTTTTGGCAATCACTTTGGTGGTTCAAAGGATTTTCTCTCATCCAGAGATTTAGACAATCGATGTCCCGAGGATGAGATTGAATTGGATCGACGTTACGAGCCAGAGAAATATACCTCGACGATTTTCGTCGATACCAGCGGTAGAGAGAGTACCGATCTTACGTCAAGACAAAATCATCAAAGTGGTATATCCAATAAAACGTCGGAACTAAGTGCAAGACGAGATCTACTCGAGTCGAGGATAAAATCGAGACTATTAGCTGACGAAATGTATGCAGCGAAAAATACGGCAAACGTGTCAATCAAAAAGTCCGAACACGAGATTATCGATAAACCGATCGTTCCGTCACCTGTTACACCCAATCGAATATCATCTCCTAAACGTTATACCGATACATATATCACGGAGACAAGGACTAGTAGCAATGGGGAGAAATATATTTTCGAAAAGCAAATACACGAGGACAATGGCAAAGTCTATGGTTACGAGAAGAAAATAACGAACAAAATCCCGTCCGATGGTTACGTCGAATCAAAGCCAAGAGATGGTTATACCGTTGAAACGAGAACGGATAAATACGGGGACAAGTACATCGTTGAAACTAGGACACACGGCAGTTATACGGACGATTTCAAGCCATTTCTCAGTGACAGAAGTAGGACCAGCCCGGAAGAGAGATTCGAAAGAAATCATTTGGGCGGTGGCCCTTATAAGTCTACCAATTATTTAGCCGACGATTCGACGAATCCAAGGACGAGTAATTATTTCCGAAACGAACCGAAGGACAATGATACACTTTCGTCGCCGATCGTCGTAAGGAAATTTACCGCTGAGAGAAAACTTTCGAAGAGCGACGATTTTCTCGATCGAGATGTTCGCCCTAACGAGAACCTTTCGAAAATGAATAAAAATTTCGAATCTATTCGCGGAATGAGTAAATCGACTCAACGTTTGAACGAGCTTGGCGAGAAATCGAGGATCTTAAGAAACGAATACACGACAAGGTCGCATGAGAATCTTTGCAGTCACGTTGATTACGGAAGTGCTGGGGAAACGAATACGAGAAAAGATAGATCACCGTTCACTAAGAGACACCTTGACAGTTTACGAGAACGACCGATCGATGATTACGACACTGATATCTCGCAAATGACCAGTAGCCAGCTAGAGTCCAAATATTACAAGGAGACTCGAACTACCCAAAGATACAGTAGCAGCAAACATCCGATCCACGATGATTACGACAGTTCACCACCTCGTATAAGAACAGATCGGACTGGTCCAAGTGGTGTACGAAGTAACGATCCTGGTACCAATGGTCACAATTCAAGTCGTTACGATTCCGACACTACGGCGAGAGAATCGATTCGTCGCGAAACTCGATACGACGAGCGTACTCTTCGTAAGGATCATCGAAATGGCAATGTCCTTGATGCCGAACCGAAGAAACCATTGAGAAGATCGCGTAATCGTCTCGATTATTTCGACGATTCAGATGCCCGTGATAGTCCACGCGGAAAGAGTTCCATCGACGAGACCCCACCTACTAGACCACTCCGGAGTTATCACGAAAATGGTAAATCCCGACATGCCAGGCAAGAAACTCGTGCTTACATGGAACAACGTCGTTATCGGGAGACACGTTTAAGCGATCCAGATAGGAAAGATCGTCTTGCCGATTCTGGTATCGAAAATGATTATAGACGTGACTCTCAAGAGGCCGATAGACGGGAACCGATCGAGTCGGAGGATGAAGGGTTTGCAAGTAGGCAATTTATCAAAAACGAGAGAAGGCATACCGATAGGAATATGAATTTAACACCTTTAGAACAACGAAAGTATGACAAATATTCGAACGATATCGGTACCGGTAAATCAACGAGCGGATTGGTCACGTCAAAGCCTCCCACCGGTGCTGATAAGAAATACGAGAAGAAGGCTGCCAAGAAAAGTGGCACAATGAGCAAGGTGAAGCAGTTGTTCAGTAAGAGAGAAAAGAAAGCCAAGGAAGAGAAGAATAAGAAGAACTCGAGAAGCGGTAGCAGTGGTGCACTGACGGACGACGAGGTCACGATGCGCTATCGAGAGTATCGCGGAGATCGACTTAGGAGTGCCAAGAGCGCAAGGGACCTTGGCAGCGACATAAATCAGGTAAGACCACCTTAATGATCCTTTACGAGTCGATACGAGTTATCGCCTTCCGCTATGGCTTACCGTTTTACGTGCGAGATTTTATGAGATACGAGATATTCCAAACATGAAAAAGAAACAAAAAAAGAAAATTAGAAAAAAAGGACGGAAAGAAGATGTTTTATCGCGTAAAAATCGATTTGGAGAGAGAGAGAGAGAGAGAGAGAGAGAGAATATATAATTCTTGTTTTTTCTTCCTTTTTCTTTTTGTTTAGAAAAAGTGCAAAATTTCTCATAAAACTTTTTCAAGATATATATTTAAATGAATGAAAAAAGGAAACTATTTTAATTACGATTTTATATATCGATATTTGTTTATCGATGTTCTCTGTCAAAGTTATTATTTTCTAATAACATATTCTTAAATCACGCGTGTATAAAAGATCTTTTATCTCTCTCTCTCTCTCTCTCTCTCTCTCTCTCTCTCTCTCTCTCTCTCATGTTATAATAAGATTTATGAGCATAGAATTTTATTTATCTTTTTTCTCTCGTTCATTATTTATCGCACGTTCGACGAGGAAGCAAAGTGAAATCAGATAGATGTATACTTCCTAACGGAGCTACCCAACCGTTCCGGAGATTATCGATATTCGAGAGAGAGAGAGAGAGAGAGAGAGAAAAAAAAAAAAGAAAAAAAAAATCACGAATAGGGCTTGGGAAAGATCATCGACGTCAGTGTATGTAAGTGCACACAAAATGAAACTAACAAAGTGTTATAACGTGTCCAATCGAAAATTGGTCATTTTTATCAGTTTCTTTATCTTTCGTAAAGAGTTCGATTGATATTCCTCTAATATTTTTATTCGAGCATTATAATTAAAAAAAAAAAAAAAAAAAAAAAAGAAAAAAAAAACAATTATACGCGATAAGTAAGCGAATCGAAAGGAGTACGACTATCTAATATGAAAACGCCGGCAAAAGTTTCGGGGGAGGGGGATAAGAAATAAAAAAAAAAAAAAGAAAAGATAAAAAAGAAAAAAAAACAGAAAAAGAAAAAAAAAAGAAAAGAGAAAGAGAACAAAAGAGAAAAAAAAAACTAGAAAAAAAATATCTCTTCAATCGCATTTAAAAGAACTAGTTTAAAGTTCTGTACTACCTATGTATATTTACGTATGTATCTATGTTAGGTGTATATATGTACGTACATATGTACGTATAGAGGCAGCTTATCGCGTCGTTGAAAATACGTTAACGGCGTCGACTAGGAAAGATTTACCGGACGTAAAGTTACGCTCGAACGGCGAACTATTATTCTCTCTGGGCTTCGCGCCCATCGACGAAACGAAAGGTGGGGCAATCGGTTACGGAAAAGCTATTTGGTAAAGCCTTTCTCGTATTTCCAAGTTGCATATTGTAAAAGAGAGATCTTTTCGTAAAAGACCATTATATATATATATATATATATAAATATCCAACTATGGGTCTAAATATCATACGTTATACAAGAAAATAAAAATCTTTCGTGATCTATTCATGATTGTTACCAAATCGATCAAAGTTCTCATGAGATTTTCAAAATGGCCCGTCCTATACTTTTGCCGGTCGGCTTAATTATAAAATCGTTTATCTACGTACACACATATCTACCTTGATAAGTTAGTTAAACAATAATCAACTATAATTTACTAAGGGAGATACATTATACCTTATTTCTTGAATAATTTCACGAATGAGAGGCATTAAATCTACTCGGTTGATTTCTCGTGATCTTTGAACCAAAGTTTCACATATATGTATATATATGTATATCTATATATATATATATGTCTATGTATTTACGTACATATACATACATACATACGTTCGTTCGTTACTATAGATTTCGATAGTATATTACTTCGATTCGAATTTATCGATAATTGATACGATTTAGGATTAAACCATTATATCCACCATATCCATCATAATTTTTACGTATTCGATCAACGTATATTAATATATATGTCTATTGTATAGATTAATACTAATTAAAATAGAGTATGTTGAACTTACGAATATAAAATATCGACATCATTATCTAATTAGACGAACACAACATAAATAAAGATCATTGGTAGTTTATGATTCAGGTCAGTTTGTAAAATTGCTAATGATCGAAAAAAGGAAACTAATGTATCCTACTTTTTCATGATAAGATACATTTTTTTTTTTATATTGTATCGTAGCCCTTCGACATTTTACACACACACATACATATACATATATATATATATATATATATAGAGAGAGAGAGAAAGAGAGAGAGAGAGAGAGACAGAAAGAGCTATAAAATAATTGTAAAAAAAGAAATTATTCATGACGTAAATATAGGTCATGGGTTAAGTAAGTGATTGTTGCTCTATTACTTGTTATAGATAGTGTATCTTCGGTAAGATTAGTCATGATTATTAGATTAGTCAGTAAGTCTTTGAATAAATACTGTCTTGATCTATATATGCATGAACGAATAGAGAATGGTCGTTATTACTACTGAGAAATCGTTTTATCGAATACATTTTCAATCAATATTTATACAAGCTGTATAAATACAAACACCGTAACAATTACTTTGTCCTATATTACCATTAACAATTTTTATATAACATCAATGATATTTTATTAAATTATATTCGTGTATTTTTATTTCGAATTTAATGTCAATCAATGTATAAAAATTCAATTAATTCTTTTTAATTTAATTGATAAATAAATATTTAATAAACAAACTTCATTTAACAACACACGCACAAGGAGAAAAAAATAATCGTAATCAAAAAATAAACTAAGAAAATAATGATAATTCAAGGGGTTAATCTATTCTATCGACCTAGAAATTATACAGCAACCAACGATTCATCTAGATCCTGTAACTAAGCTCATTTAATATGTATAATACTATAAGGATCAAATCGCGTTAGCATATTCGCACGTCCTTGAACGAAAAGAAAGAATCAATGCGTATATCTGTATAAAACAGCGAGGGAGAAAGAGAGAGAGAGAGAGGGAGAGAAAGAGAGAGAGAGAGAGAGAGAGAGAGAGAGAGAGAGGAAGGGAGGGAGAGAAGAGAGAAAAAAAGTAACAAATGCGAGTACCTCGCGCGTGAATGCGACGTAAAAGAAATCGCGATTGCGAGGGTGTGACAAACGATCGTAAAATGTACTACACGGTCCCACGGTGGAGTCGAGTTATCGTTGCACAACGACATATATATATATATATATATATATATATATATATATATATACGTATATATATATATATACTATATATATATATATATACTATATATATATATATATATATATATATATCGAGGTCCCGGCTACAGGTGGCACACCATGTATATATATACACACACACACATATATATATATATATATATATACATATATCTTGTGTGCGGCGAATTGGTCAAGTAGCATTTAAATTTAACACGTATGCGTACGCACACATATACATATATACGTATATACGTGTTATATATATATATTATATATATATACCTATATGTCTTTTATATATACATACATATATGTATAGTTACATGCCGCTATACTGGCTGACGATCGAGCGTAACGAAACTACAGGACACCCACGCGAAGGAGGGTGATGGTGAAGGGGTGCGAGATAAAACGCCTGGAGATCTATCCACACCCAGCCGCCAAAGGCGCCTGTTTCTTCAACGTCTCCTTCCGTTCTCTTCTTCCTCCTCTTATACATCTTTTTTCCAACAATCCTCTCTCTCTCTCTCTCTCTCTCTCACACACTCTCTATCTCACGCACACACATACACACACACGCACAATATTGTTTTTTGTACGTTTCTATGTTTTTGGAAGAAATCTTTATGATAATTAATATTATATTTTTAGAAAAATTTAAATATGGATAAAATAATTTAATTATATAAAAATAATAATTTATAAAATATTATATATATATATATATATAATAACTAATTATTTTTAAATTGTTTTATTATATAATATGTATAATGTTTTGCGTATGTTATAAATGAATTTCTTTGAAAGGATTCTTGTAATATTTTCCAACGTAAGAAATGTATGTCTCTTATAAATGATGTAACGGAATTGATCATTATAGTTTAGAAATTAACATTAAAAAACTTGTTTCTTTTTCTTTCTTTCTTCTTTTTTTTTTTTCTTTCTTTTTTCTTAATACGTAATTAACTCGTAGTGATCGTATAATCGTATAGGGTGTAAACAAAAAATATATATTGAGTATTTTTCAGAAGATAGATATATGAGAAATGATTTCAATAATTATTCTATACAAGAAATCGTTAAACTTTTTACTTAGTTTTATGCGGTAGATTTGACGAAACACCATTTTATAAATATCCTTCAAAACGTCGTTTCTTTATTTTAATGATAATGCATTAACAAGCGCGAAAATGATGAAAGAATCTGGCATAGAGTTATTCAAAGGATTGTAACGAAAGTTAGTCGCGCGTATCTCAGTAGTCACGGTATTGACAGGTCAGACATTGACATTCGACGTCTTGCGTAATATCTTGAGAGTGTGTCGTGAGAGCCGAATGTTTGAAACGTGCAGAACTTTCGAAATCTCGAGTAGGAATCGTACCGAATCACTTAGCAAATTCATTAATTAATATTATCATTTCTTGTTAAAAAAATTAATTTAAATAAATGAAAATGGTCAAATCAAATCAAAATTTTCCATCGGATTATACTTTCATCGTATATTATATTTTCGATTTATTATCAAAATAATACATATATATATATATATATATATATATATATTTATTTATTATATGTATGTATATATATAAAATACAATAGTTCTCTAAATTCTAGTTTGTTAGAATTCATTCATAATGGATTCGTGAAAATTCGTAAATTTCTTGATACTTTTTTGATAAAAATAATGCGTAGTTTGGATTCCAGAAAGATTGACATAGTAGGATAAGTATTGTTTGCAATTCGTACGGGTCTATT